GGGCGCGGGGCGGCGCGAGCTGCGGGCGCGGGCGGCGCGCGCCGAGGCGGCAGTGCGGCGGCTGCAGGCGCGGCTGGCGGCCGCAGACGTGCTGGTGCGGGACCTGTACGTGGAGAACTGCCAGCTGGCCAGCCGGGACCGGCTCTGACCCCGTCCGGGGCCGTGTCCTCGAACTAATCGTTTCGGTAAATTCGCATTTAATGCATTTTGTAGTTACTCCGCATTAGGAGCGAGGGAGGCTCACGTCCGCCCTGTACATAAAATATTTAAATGATAATTAATGTATTAGCACGTAACCGCAAGTTCCTCAATCATATCATTTAGCTAACCCGTGAGTGTCGGCAACTTAATATGCTCATTACGAATTGATATAATCACAATCTCATGTCGGCCGGGGCCGCTCGTGCTTGTGTTTATTAATGCTCTGAACCACGCATCGGCGTGTCGAAGTGTCGGTCGGGCCGCGGTGTGCCCACGCCGCTCATTGCTTCACTGGATGGACGAGCTTCCGGCCCGTTTACGGCTTAGTGCGCACCGGGGCTCACAGAGATCACCGCGTGGATGTCACTGGCCACAGCCCTCACAGTCGCGGGCTGCGTGACTGCTTCGCTGCAAGAGTCGACAGGGAAGTGGTACCTACCCGCGCGGGCTCACAAAACATTTTCTGCTTATATAATTCAACGTGAAAGTGTCATCACGTTCTTATTCACCAAGTGCCTTCTGTGCTGTATCACTTACTGTATACTACTTATAATAAGATTAGTCGAGTCGTGTGTGTAAACAACACGTTTAATGCCTTGCGCAAGTTTCCAGTAATTCATATAAGTACCGCAAAGTTCTTAAGAACCTTAAGCGGATCCTAGACTCTAGATCTGATTTTGCTTAGTTTGCACTAAACTACAGAACGAAACTGTCGCTAAATAAATATACCCGTTACTTAGTATTTGTCGAAAACGAAAAAATATAATCCGTTTATAAGAAAACCGCTCGCTCGAATCTGGGTCCTTACTCTCCATTATATAGAATCTTCCGGCACCGCACCGACGTGTGCCCGGCCCCCAGAGTGCCCCCCGCGCTGGGAGGCGGCCCCCCGCTGGACCGGACGAGCGCCTCCGTGGCCAGACCCCAGGGATTCTTCCGGCGGCGAAGGCCTCTCCCGCGGAAGAAAATCGTTCAGACCTGCGTACGTCCTCCCCCTGCCACGACCACAGTGTCCGCGTAGCCAATAACGACCAGGCATTATCATAGCCCGGTACAGGAAATTCATTTGCACATTGTCATAAAGCTCATCAATCAATGAGCCTTGAAGTCAATGAACATGTGATAAGGGCTAATATATTTTCAAAGATCTGCCTCTGGGAGAAGATTTGATCTATTGTGGATCTATTAGAAGTCGTCGTGGCCTAAAGGATAAGACGTCCGGTGCATTCGTATGTAGCGATGCACCGGTGTTCGAATCCCGCAGGCGGGTACCAATTTTTCTAATGAAATACGTACTCAACAAATGATCACGATTGACTTCCACGGTGAAGGAATAACATCGTGTAGTAAAAATTATAATTTGCGTAATTACTGGTGGTAGGACCTCTTGCGAGTCCGCGCGGGTAGGCACCACCGCTCCGCCTATTTCTGCCGTGAAGCAGTAATGCGTTTCGGTTTGAAGGGTGGGGCAGCCGTTGTAACTGCATATACTAAGACCTAAGAACTTATATCTCAAGCGGGGTGGCGCATTTAGGTTGTAAATTTCTATGGGTGGAGCCCACTTAACACCAGGTGGGCTATGAGCTTGTCCACCCATAAAAATATTTGAGTTAAAACCCACACTGATACTCTCCCAAGCAGGATTCTATATATGGCTTTGCTGAAAAGCACATTGGTAAGAACCAGGTGCTGAAATTCTTACTAGAAATCAGCTCTAGCATTTTTTATAAGTTCCCCATGGATATCGTCAATTTAATTGGAAAAACCTAAAGTACACACACACCGCCCCGGTCGGACCTGAATATTTATAAACGACCCTGACTTCTCAAGGGTGCTTTAAAATTAATTAAGTGATTTATTATATTAATTATCCTGCACTCGGCGCGGCTCAGTGTCTCGCCCTCCCCGCCGCCCCCCGCCGGACCCCCCCGGCCCCGCGCGTGACGCTGCACATCGGTGCAGTAACTCGTAAGGGCGCGATGTGTGTCTCTTTTAAGTCTCTTGTAAGCAGTATTATGATCGTCAGAAGTTTTTCTGGAACATTCCTGAAGCTGGCGTCATTAAATCAATTGAAATATGATTAGTCATTGTCGCTGTAGACAAATTCCTTACCCCGGGATCGTACTCGATAGGTAAACCGCCAAGCAATATCAGCAAGTTTACCATCAATTGTGCGTCCAATATCTTGCAGCTGGTTAACTGACTCAGTGACATTATCTACACAGTCGTTCATTGAGCCGCTGTACAATATTGGATACCATCAAGTGCTCGGGTTTATTTACCTATGAAATTACTATTCAGATACAATAAAGTTGAGTTCATTTTTGTAAATAGTTTTTAATTCTATCTATCAAAACATGCAACCATAGTATCGATGCATCTCGGCCTGCACAGTCGTAATTTTTCAATGTTCTTGTGGAAGAAGTCAGGTGTGCGGGATCCAACAAACTCTTCAAAGGTATTGTGCCTTGCCTTTCGATTATTGAATTTTTTCCCAGCCAGGGAACCAATAACATCGTTAGTGTCCTGTGGCCGCTCGTTGTCGTCACGCGATGCTCCGCGTGCTTACGAAATAGATTCAATTACGATTAAAACTAACACTAATCAATATGCAAATGTATAACATCAATATGAAAATAAATTTCACGTTTTATACTAAAATCATTTGCATTTATAAGTCTTAGATACAATACAAGCATAGATGTGCAATCGCACACGGACAGCACGCGCCGCCCCGCCCCGCCCCGCCCAGCCCCGCGCCGCGCGAGACACGAGCGGTCACAGGCGACGCTCGTTGGAGCTTCTATATACTTTTATTTTATTAAATGTATACAACAAAGAAATGTGTGTATTGTACATAATTTAATAATTTTATTTCACAAACAAAACGTAGGTATTGCATATAATAACGCAATTAGATTCAATTAAGATCAATATTCGTGTGAGTATCGGGACCATAATGTATCAATTAAGTTTATTTTTATTTCGTAAATGAATTGTAAATGTGAAAAGTTAAGTAAACATTTAGCGTAAATAAGGATTTTGACAAGTTTTTTTCTTGAAAGACAGTTTAGTTACTAGACTTGATTAAACATGTGTTTAATTAATTTGATATATCCAGTCGTCACTAGCCGCAGTTGCAACGACTTGAATACCGATATACACGGCCATGTACGCCAATCATGTTGTTATAATCATAAGATGCCCTCTCAACATTTGGATCCTACAAATGATGTACTTAAGATACTTATTTTAAATAATCATTCCTACAATATTTCGGTCGCAAAAATGACAGTCTAGCTGTAAATATGTATATTAACTAATTCTAAAGGATCAATGTGGCGCCGCGCGAGCCCGCGGCCGTTGGGCCCCGGGGCCGCGCCGACACGTGCGACACGTGTACCATCTCAACACTGCCCAGGCATAGTTACAATACGTTAGTTTTTATCCGAAGCAGAAAACAGAATCGTGTATGTGATACTGTTCTCGGTTTTGAGAATGCTTGCAGTCCCCCCCCAGGGTTCCTCAGGACCCCCTGCCGTGCGACTGTGCAGGGAGACGGGGTTGACTGATGCTACGTGGTTAAATGTAGTGATATAACTATAACAGAAACATGATTCAAAGAGCGCGTGAATAAATAGCCCTCTCCCTCCTCCCCCCGCCTCCTCCTTACTGCCTATCACCGCTATACAATTAGAAAGACCAGCTTATAATTTTAGTTCTTCGGTCCGGAAATGTTCCATTGAAAGTGTAGGTATTTGTTTATACTCGTGTTACAAATATTGTATCTCGCGTCAGCGGGCGACCTGGACGCCACGCCGGGTGTCCCGGGCACTGGGCAGGCCCGCGCGATGCCCGGGACACAGGTGTGCCTAAATTGGACCCGCTGTGGTCCAGATAGTCTATTTATTAGCTGAATTATTATTGAAAACGACGTGTATGTGACAATTTCGATCCCTTCCTTCATTAAATAATTTCAAATATTTTATTTAAAAATTTTAAGCGAAAGGAAAATATATTTTAGTTGTATTCAGTTTCAAAATACATAAATTTTTTAAATTTGACTTTTTAAATATCTGTCATATATCAAGCACTCATAAATTTCTCTGATACATTAATAAATTGACCTATTAAAAGTGTTGACTAAAGTTTGTTTCATTACATGTTCATTCCTTGGCGCACAATGTGTCGCTGTGAGTCCCGATGGTAATAATAATAATAGACGAATTAAGCTTTTTGTATTTTATTTAGAAACGAATAATGAAAATAAACATTGTTCAGTAGTTAGCGTTGTACAATATGCACGTATTCTAATTCATTTTATAATACGATGTGACTCTTGACATATGCAGGTAATTACCCCGGTATGTATAATTACTGTACGAGGTACAATCACACTTTATATTAATCCCAGCACCTATGTAGTTAAACTTATGAACTGTTAAATAACAAATTTTTATTTTTTTTGTACAAAACTTTAAGTCGACATTAAGTTGAGTCGCGCACAGAGCACAAGCCGGGCCTGCGGTCCCGCTACAGGTACATCCCGTTGACGAGGTAGTCCGCGTCGTGCGCCAGCGCGGACTTGCGTCGCAGCCGGCGCCGCGCCGCGCGCGCACGACACGCCAGCATGCCCGCCAGCGCGCCCGTCAGCGACACGCCTGCAACGTGCGCGCCCTCATAACTAGCCGCTCTCGACAAGTATTGTCACATCGTCATGCCGCTCGAATAGCTTGGAGGGAACTTCAGTTACAACTCGATATCGGGCAAGAGAGACTGCGCCGTGCCTAAGAGATGATGATGAACAAAAAATTGAGATTGCACAAGAGATAGTTACCGAGCACTAGCAGCAGCACGGCGGCGGGGGGATGCTCACTGAGGCCGTCGTGGTCGTCGAGCGGGGGCGGGGGCGCGGGGTGGCGCCGGGCCGACGCCGCGCCGCCGGGCTCCCGCGCGACCGCCTTGTTCGACTCTGCCGTCTGTATCTAATCATACGCAACTGGTTCATTTATGACGCACTAAAAATACATGTACATAATACTCTGAAAGTGTCTACCCATTCTCCAATGAACGCCTTAGTCTCTTTAAACGACAGTCACGGAAAAAGACGAGCTGATGCTAATCCAGGCGGACATCACGCAGACAAAATCTTTTAAAATATATTTCTGGCTTTGTAGTATTAGGTCTTTACTTATGAAGTTGCCGTTAGGATACAGAAATTTAATTAATATTATTCAAAGAGCGAACCGGAGGACATTGTATGACAGTTCAATTAATGCTTGGATCCATTACTATTTCTTTAATAGGTTTCTTCTTAGTATGATTCTCAAGTAGGGGCGGCTTGTTCTCCTCTCTCAGATCGGGAGCAGGGGAGGGTGGCGGGGCGGTGGGGGGTGGCAGCTCCAGGCCCTTCTTAGGTCCGTCGCGGAGAGTTTGTTGCTGACTAGAGTACACTATCGGCACCTCGGGCATTGTCTTCGCAGGCATATACATCTGCATCTCCTGAAAACATTCGTATAGAACATTATCAATACTAATATTAATATCTTAAAGTTAACATCTTCCAATTGTATAATTTGGCGGAGGCGAGGCCCTCATAAGAAGGATGAATCCTTAACACGAATGTGTCAATATCATCTGGATATGGTAAAGAGTGTATTATATTTTAAGGCCTAGGTACTCGCGGCGACCTTGCACACCGCCTCTGGGTCGCTTGGAAGGTAATGTCGCCATGCGCGAGCGACTGTTTATTAATATTAAAATTTTATTTTTCATTACCTCACATGAATTTCCTATCGTAAACTATCTTTTTACGCATCTATGCCTGTACAAAATAATATAAATGTTTCACATCGGCCAGCCTTCCCGCGATGCCAAATTTTTTTTCTAGCTCACGATCCGTCTGTGTGTTAAGTCGTACCCCATAGACATCACGTCAAAGTTGTCACTGAACTTTAGACATGAGTTTCATACTTAAACAGTTGTTCCGTTCTTCAAGTCGGAACACACTACTGCGTCGCGTAAAGAAATAGAGAGATAGGATGGTGGTACCTACCCATGCGGACTCGCAAAGCAGTCACTGGTGAACGTGTATTTGGTACATATTTCATTAGATCAAAATATCTCGTCACCGGCGACTTGCGAGCACAGCGGGCGGGCTTCAGGTACAAGAAGCAGGCTCAAATAACTGTGTGGTTACCGTGTCTTGTCGCTGCTGCGGAACGGGCCAGGCGCGGCGCAGGTCGGGCTCGGGCCACGCGAGCCGCGGGTATCCTGCCCCCCACCCACGCTCCTCCATCCCTCCCACACCTGCACACACAGTAGCGGACTACATATTATAACCCCGCCCTGGGCGCGTGCAGGGCTTAGGGCGCACTCACACATACACACAGTTCGGAGATTGTTTGCGATGCCGCGACACGAAACTCGTAGGCCCTATTCAAATGTGAACGAAAACTAATATTATATTCATTTAAAGTTTTAAGCTATTGCATAGCTTTTATCGCGGGCCTTGAGCGCGGCGACCGAATCATGAACTTCCGTAACGAAAAAAACCTAACACCCTCACTCCGACTACCATGTAGCTCGCGTTCAACACATTCACACGTTGCGCTTGTGTAGTGTTTGTGAATAAGCGCGGCGTGGCGACGGGACGTCGCACTGCATGCGTATCATGAAAAATCTACCCATCTCTCTCTCGCACGGTCTAGCTTATGAGGGTGAAGGGGACAGTTAATGTTTTGCTTTTATTAATGTTTAATATAGCGTGGTCTTGTTTTATTATTGTTTTAATATTAAATTATCATTGTCTAATTATAATTGCATAAGTTGATAAAAAACGCTATGCTTTACCGGGGCAGTTCCCGAGTGCCACACGTTTGCTTTTTTTATTTTTTATTCGTTAGTCGTTGTATCTCAAGGTGCTATTCGAGCTAGGTCTGGTAAATGAGCTCACAAGTGCAACCTTGAGGATTTGCTAACACTAGTCCTAGCAAGTGCAGTGCTCACTGAATCTCAGCGAGTTGTGTTTGTGGTAGCGTGTCGAACTCTGTGTCGCGAGCTTAGTTCCGATCTCCTTCCTGATGACGTTGGCGCCGATTTAGATCGCCTTACATTTTCATTCACATGATTTAGTTAAAGGAACAGAGTGTTTATATTGAGGTTTTTTTGTATTGACAAAAATTAAATGTTGTGTATCTGTGCTACTTTATGAATGACTGTTGTCGACATCGATATATTACCACTAGATCCCGCGTAAAGGCGTCAAAAGTAACCAAACAAAACAGTGCTTAGATTCATATTAAGCACAGTTTTGCCGTCAGTGTCACGCCGACCGTCGAGTGGAACGATCCTAAAATGCGCTGTAAAAAGATGTAAAAAACACGCTTATACAGAGAAAACAACATGAAATTTAGTATTTTTGGTAGGTTTTATAATTTTTATTAACAGATGGTGATAAATATTTCAAATAAATCAATTATTCTTACCAAATTAGTACTTCAAGAAATTAAATCCTATTATTTTGCTTCGCAGTTATTTCTTTCGCACACATAATAACGGTTACATGCAAGACAAGGATGAAATAGGGCTATTTCAGAACAAGTGTAGTGGAGTAACATAATTTTTTATTTTTTTATTATTTTTTATTACTTAGATGGGTGGACGAGCTCACAGCCCACCTGGAGTTAAGTGGTTATACTGGAGCCCATAGACATCTACAGCGTATTTACGCTGCCATTTACGCATTTGCGCCACCCACCTTGAGATATAACTTCTAAGGTCTCAAGTATAGTTACAACGGCTGCCCCACCCTTCAAACCGAAACGCATTACTGCTTCACGGCAGAAATAGGTGGGGTGGTGGTACCTACTCGTGCGGACTCACAAGAGGTTCTACAACCAGTAATTACGCAAATTATTTTGCGGGTTTGATTTTTATTACACGATGTTATTCGTTCACCGTGGAAGTCAATTGTGAACATTTGTTAAGTACGTATTTCATTAGAAAAATTGGTACCCGCCTGG